AAAGCCATGCAATTCTTATTACCCTGTGATATCTTCGAAGTTCAAAGACATTTTTTTTCATATTGCTTTTTTTTTAAGTCCGGTGTTTTAGATATTTTAATTACAGAGATTAACAAGAATCTCATCAAGACTTATAATATTTAAACTACATAAAGCTTAAAGCTTTTCTTTTCAAAATAAACGGATTATTTTCTAAAGGTTCTGTTAGAAGTTTTCAAATCGATTATTAAAAAAGAACTACTTCAAAAGCCGAATTATCTGCCACTGAAAAGAATTACTAAAGATTTGGTAAGGCTGGAAATGATAGGAGATAACTTTTATATTAATGAAACTCGACAAGAAAAGAATATACTACTAAAAGCTTTGGAAAAATTCCTAAAAGTTTGTGGTAAGCTTTTATTAAACTTTAGCCAACGGGTTGTTTAAGACAGACGAACGGTTATTGTACATAATTTTTTGTACGCTTTTTTAAAACAAGAACATATCTTGCCTTGGGCAGAAATTTTGGATGCTGTAATATTTGCTTCTCGAATAAATGCGAATATCGCTTAAAGCCGAATAGGATACTAAATATTTGTTAAAATTGACCTATGCTAAATAAAAATTTGATTAGAAAATTGAAGTACTAAAAAATATAAATATAAATTTAAACGTGTTAAAATTTTGTATAGTACTATGTCATCGTTGTTAAACTGAGTTTGTTGTATATAAAAGGAAAAAGCTAATTGTTGCAAATAAGGGGAAAAAGTCTATTGTTGCCAATTAAAAGGCAACAAATTGTGAAAACAATATTAGAAATTATGTAAGAAGATTTATGGTTAAATAAAATTTAAAATTAAATAATTATTATTTAAATAAAAAGATTTTAAATAACAGGGAATGTAACCAATACAAAAGAAAATATAAAATTTACTTGAAGCACTACAGTACAATAGGCTTAGCTCAAGGGAATGAGAGTTGTGCTCAGAGAGGAGGTTTGCACGTTTGCTTGGCTGTAGTAACCTAAGGTTAAATCAACACTAAGATGATCTTGAGATGGGCGCCAGGGTGAATTTTAAATATTACTCCAATTTAGGATATATGTAGTTATATACTAACTGAAAAATAAAAGATGATAGGAAACAAATAAAAATCTGAAATGCTTTATACACTATATTATAATCTTAATGTACTATACCAACTCTATACTTAAGTACACTGCACAATTACTAAAATTTTGATGGTATACAAGGCAAATATCGAACACAGTAATTAATTAAATCTTGCCCAAGTACTTTCGATCAATAGATCATCCTTAGGGGCATTTCGTCAGTTGTGGCCTATCCGACATGAGCTGTCTGTCTCCGGCTTCTATATAACATGTAGCTTCTCCATTTTTAAGAAATTTTAAAGTGTTTGTTTGTCTTTGTGTATTGTATTGTTATGTCCAAATTTACATGTATGACATTCTGCTCATGTCGGATAGACCACAACTAACGAAATGCCCCTGAGGATGATATATTGATCGAAAGTACTTGGGCAAGATTTAATTAATTACTGTGTTCGATATTTGCCGTGTATACCATCAAAGTTCAATTATTCGAACATTCAACCTTATATTGAATTACTAAAATATATCCACAAAATATATATTTACAAAAAAAACAGTTACATAAAAATACGACCCAAAATATAATTATATACAAAAAAAAATTATCTGAACAGTCCTCTAACAATGGGGTAAAAGGGTATGTTAATACTGTTTGAATAACTCACATGGAGTAAATAGTACTTAAACTTTACCAAAAAAATAAAATAATTATACCAGTTAATAAAAAGTTGTTTAAAAAAATATGACAATAGTCAGTTAAGCAATTGAAACAATACTACATCAATTTGAAATGTGAAGGTACATACAAATGATCATACAATTGGATGATATATCTTGACAACTTATTATAAGTGTAATATAAAATATAAATAAATAAATAAATTCAAAGTAAATAGAAAATAATAGAATTAAAGCAAGTAAAAGGATTCAAAGAGCAGAGGGTACTACCCAGGGATTGTGCACAAACCTGTTTTGCAACCCACTTAGGCTGCAGGCCTAAGTATCCAAGATATATATATATATATATATATATATATATATATATATATATATATATATATATATATATATTGTTTGGGAAAGTATGTGCGAATTCGTTTCATATTTTTACTGTAATGTGATCTAATTTAGTTCTGTATTTTAAAGACCTTTTTGAAATATATTGTTTTCCTGTTGTCTCATAAAACTTAAACTGGATATCTCATTTATGATGTTGTAAATACGAAGAATTTGGCTTCTCTTTGGTATGGTTCAAAAATATACACACAAGTGTAAAGTGTCGTGTTACCGTCACAATTAGCTAAAATTATCAGAAAGGTCGCAATACAATGGAATGATTTATTGGTACAACCCTCTCGGACCATTGCTTAGAGGGTTCGTCCTTAGCTCTGACCATATTAACGCATTCTCAATACACACTTCTTCGTAACACAGTGACCTAAACGCTCCTCCATAGACCGGTCTTGTGTTATTTAGCCTCGGCGCCCCAGGCCGCGGCGTCGTGATGCCCAGCGACCAATTCTACAGCCTGTTACGAATTCATCAATAGAACCAAAGGGTATATTCCAAAGCTATGTTGCTAAAGCTAAATAGCTATGTGAACCAAAGGGGTTCACATAGCTATTAAACAACACCACTATGTCTGTTACTAACTTGAAAAAATCCTTCAGGTTGTTGGCCAAAATGTATCTCTAAATTAGCCGTATAAAACATTTTAGCATCAGAGAGTGCAAAAATGTTTATGCCGCACTTGTTTAATAATTATTTACAGCTGCCTTAGAAGATATTTTTAAGTCAATAGACTAAAAAAATAAAGGAATCCCTATTAACGGAAGATACTTGAACCATCTTAGATACGCAGATGTTGTTGTTCTAAAAGCAGACACGTGGAATGCACTGAATACGATGATTGAGGAGCTACACAAAGAATCCCTAAAAAAAGGACTGAAAATGAATTTCAGCAAAACTGAACTAATGTCAAACAAAGATGACAAACATATAATAAACATCGAAGGGACAGAGATAGAACACGTAGATGATATACATATCTGCGTCAAAATGTCAAGGTAAGCAAAGAAAATCAGACTACCGAAATAAGCATACGTGTAAAAATGGGATGGGCAGCGTTCGGAAGAGTCTCATACGTACTTAAAAATAAAAATATTCCTTAAAGACTGCGACCCAAAGTGTTTAATTCCTGTATCCTACTTGTGCTTACATATGCAGCTCAAACCTGGACATTCACTATAATTAACATGGAGAAGATCAGAAAAACTCAAAGAGCTATGGAACAACAAATGCTGGGTATCTCGCTTAAAGACCATAAAACCAATATAGACATTCGTAATAAAACAAAAGTAAAAGATGCTGTCGAACACGCAGCTTAACTAAAATGGAAATCGGCTGGACATAACGAACGTCTTACGGATGGCCGATGGAATAAATAAATCGGGAATTGGCGGCCATATGAAGCCAAAAGACCACGAGGAAGACAGCAAATGCGATGAAGCGACGATATTAAAAGAACTGCAGGGCCACTGTGGAAACGTCTTACAAATAACAGAGATGAATGGCAAGAATTAGGAGAGGCCTATATTCGGAATAGAAGGACTAGACGAAATTGGAATAGAGAAAAGGACTTAAAAAAATATAAGTTTACATAAATAAAGATTGTCGAAGTAAAAAGAAAACATTTTAGATGTCAATAATCATATATAAATAATACATGAAATCAATAATCACTTTTTCTTTTATAACTTTTTCACATTTTTTATACATTACTGCATGCTAACGCAGTTATTTATGGTATTTCTTTTTAAGTGTTATGTGTAATAATCAAATAAAATAGCTGTCATAATCGCATTATTTATATTTATTTTTGCATAGATTTTGTTTACAGTGAATTGTTTCAGATAATCTGAACAACTGCCAATCAGATTTTGTTAAACGAGGTACTGTACACACTGATAGACTGGGTCGATACGGGATTAACTATAATATGGTTTGAGGCATTGTTTGTGAATGGAAACTGATATGGTCTTTATAAAAATAAACATAAAATTTGTTCGAGATAAATAGTATAAGTAGGGTATTATTTCTGAATCTTTGACTCTCAATTCACCAGGGCGTAATATAAAAAGTATCACATTTGGTGATACTTTTACATGAATTTGTATTAGAAAATAATTTACACATTCAATTAATTTGTGACTGGCTTGCATTAAATATGAAACTACTGACTTAACCCTTGGGTTGTGACGCTATAGTTTCTTACAAGTTTAGTTGCCCCGGACTCATAGACCAGATGTGTCTAAAAAATAGAAATAGAAATTTTTCTTTTTTATTTTGTAGAAATTTAGAATAGGTAAATATACTAAGATGTTTTAGTAAAAAAATAATTTAAACTTTATTACAAACAGAACAATGATTTGAATAGTTATTGAAAAAAATGTCATGTGTATTAATTTTTTCCCTATAAAATAAAAATAAACAAACGTTACACAACAAATATACTTACAAAATGTTAAATTAACATAAATACAACAAATCTTCATCTTCTTCTTAGGGTGCCTGTCCTTTCCGAACGTTGGTGATTATTCTGGCTATGATAATTTTGTTGGTTGCTATACGAAATAGCTGTGTTGAGGTCTTTCTATACCATGCTCTCAGGTTAGCAAGCCAGGATATTCTTCTTCGTCCTGGGGCTCTTTTTCCTTCAATTTTACCTTACAAAATGCATTGGAGTAGCTCATATCTGCCTTGATTTCTCATAATATGTCCCAAGTACTCCAGCTTACGGCTCTTCACAATGTTTACCAAATCCGCGGTTGTGTTCATCCTCCGCAGTACTTCTTCATTGGTGACCTTGTCTGTCCATGGTATCTTAAGGATTCTTCTGTATAACCATAATTCAAACGCCTGAAGTTTTGATAGAGTTTCCGCCTTCAATGTCCATGTTTCTACTCCATACAGAAGCACTGAGTATACGTTACATTTAAGGAGCCTTATTTTTGTTATCAGGGTGAGGTCATGGCTTTTGAACACAGAGCTCATAGCCAAGAATGCACTTTTTGCCTTTCCGATGCGACATTTAATCTCTTGGGTATTGTCCCACGACTCATTGATTATAGTTCCCAAGTAATTGTATTGTGGATTGGATTTTCTCCAGTTATGTTTTGTTTGTTGATGATCATTAGCTTGGTTTTGCTAATGTTTATATCCAGTCCTGCCTTCATCAATATATTTTGGAGCCTCTTCAAAAATGTGCTCCGAGTACAGATTGAATATCAGTGGTGAAATTATGCACCCTTGTCTCACTCCTCTTAAGATTTTGACCTGTTCTGTATATTCTCCATCTATTCGGAGTACCGCTGATTGATTCCAATACAGATTAGCTACAATTTTTAATTCTCTTCCATCAATCCCTGTCCTCTTCAGCACTTCCATCATTTGTTCATGCCTGACTCTATCGAAAGCCTTCTTGTAGTCAATCAGGCATGCAAAAACATTACAGCTGACATCTCTACATTTCTGAAACAAGATCTTCACGCTAAATAAAGCTTCCCTCGTACCAACGGCGTTCACAAATCCAAACTGATTGGGCGCAATTTGTTCCTCGCATTTCCGGTAAATTCTTTTGTGGATGATCTTTAAAAACAACTTCAGCAGATGGCTCATTAGGCTTATTGTCCTACAATCTTCACAAACTTTTGCTCCTGGTTTTTTGGGCAATGGTACGAACTCCGATTTGAGCCACTCTACTGGTATTTTTCCTGCCTTGTATATTTCATTAAATATATCAGTTATTATTTTTATTTGTTCTGTATCTAATAGCTTCAGCAGTTCTGCAGGAATTTCATCAAGTCCCGGTGTCTTTCCATCCTTCATTTGTCTGACGGCTGCCGTTATTTCTTCTGGTAGGATTTCGGGACCTGAATTTTCTTCAACGGTGGGCTCTTGTACTGTTCTAAGGTCATGGAAAAGTTTCCCCAAGTATTCTTCCCATACTTTTTTTTATCTTCTGTGGTTATGGCAAGATTGCCTTCATTATCTGTTATTTTTCCGTTGTTGCGTTTTCGAAACTTTCCAGCTATTTCCTTCACCTTTCGATGAACATTGAAGTTATCATATCGACTCTGATACTCTTCTATTTCTTGACATTGTTCTGTTTTTTGTTTCTCTTTGGCTTCTCTTATTTTTCTTCTGACGATTGTATGTATTCTCTTATATTCTTGGAGATTTTCTTTGTTTTTTTTCTCTGATCCATAAGCTCAAGTATTTCATCGGTCATCCACGATTTGCGTTTCTCTGTGTCTTTCTTCAGGTGTTGTTCTTTTATTTCTCTCACCGTTTCTTGTATGATGGTCAGACTTTCCTCTATAGTTTTTGCATTTTTGCATGTTAGCACCCTTGTATTGAGGTTTCCACTCACCTTCAGTCGAACATTGGGATCTTTCAGTTTTATAAAATCATACTTCTTCATCGACTTACTTGTAACCTTCTTCATTCTGACTTTGAAATTACCTACAACTGGTACCTGATCAGAATTTATGTCTGCCCCCGGGTATGTTTTGACAGATGTGCAGCTGTTCATATACCTCTTATTTACTAGATGTAATCAATCTGATTTCTTACAATCTTTCTCACAGTATCCTGTGGAGATTTCCAGGTGTACAGTTTCCTTGGGTGTAGCTTAAACCAGGTGTTTAATAATACTAATTTATTTGCCTCCGCAAAAATCTCCAATACAACAAATAGCCACAAAAAAAAACAAAACTATATACTTTTATTGCAGTTTCCTACAGTTCTGACATATCGATGGTGAGCAGGCAAAATATTTGTCTGACGATTTAGTAAATGATCACAATATTGTACAAAATCAAGAAAATATTAATATAAATGACCCAAATAATTATATTATTACAGAAGGGCGCAAAACACAACGACAGGCTGATTCCACTTAGTGGAAACGTAATATTAATAAGCAGTTGAGAATGGAAGGCAAACCTTATCTTGGATTTGCTAAGGGTGAAAATCAAAAATCCGAACAAAACACCAAGCAATCAGCTCGAAAAATTAAGCCACATTGTAACAGTACCTTCTGTCAAAGATCAAAACTTAGACAATGTTCTCTTTTTACTGAAACTATTAGACGTGCTATTTTTGATAAATTTTGGGAGCTCGCTTGGCCACAAAAACAGTCATTTGTGACTGCTCATGTGATAAAATTTGAGAAAAAGAGAAACACTGTAGATCGAAATGACTCTAGATGCAATTTTACATTTCAGTATAGATTAAATATTGGACAAGGTGTAAAGCAAGCTTGTCGACAAATGTCTTTGAACACGCTTAGTATCAATTACAAAATGGTTTAGAGATGGTGTCAACAAAGTTCATATAACATCCCTCGTCTAGCAGATCAGCGCAATTAACAAGTAAGTAACCGACCAGAACTAGCAAGGAGAATCAAATTCCTCCAAAAATTTTTAAATGAACTGCCTAAAATGCCGTCACACTACGCTCGAAATCATTCATCTAAACTATATTTGGAACCGATATTTCATACAATTTCTGATGTTTTTAAATTGTATCTTAGTAAATTCGAAGCTGAAAATATCCCGTCTATTGGCAAAAAGAAGTTTTCAGAAATATTAGTCAACAAAATATTTCAGTTTTCCCAATACGAAGGACTAGTGTAACACATGTTGTAGCTACCGAACTGGAAACATAACAGAAAAGGCATGGCAAGCTCATCAAAAACGTAAACAGGACTCGAGAGATGAAATAGAAAAAGACAAACGTGAACCTCAGTTAGGAAATCAGTTCACAATACAATTAGATATCCAGGCCGTAAAATTAGCTCCCTTTACACACGCAAACGCGTTTTATTACAAGACCAACCTTGCCTGCCACAACTTGACAGTATACAATTTAGCTACAAAACATGCCAGTTGCTCTTGATTTTCTGAAGATCAGAATAATCAGCTTGTTTCATCAACATTTACTTCTTGTTTACTAGATATTCTTTCAAGATATTGTGTAACAGAGAATAAAAAACCTATAACATTTTTTTCGGATGGATGCACTACTTAGAATCGGAATGCAGTTATGGCCAATGCCCTTTTAAATTTTATGTTATGAATGTGTTACATAGCAATACAATATGTTAGATAACATAACAATACATCAGAAATTTTTAGAAGTTGGGCATACATAGATGGAGGTGGATTCTGTGCATGCATGCATTAGGAGAAAATTAAAGAATAGAGAATTAATTTAAAGAATTAAATTTCCAAGTGATTACATATCTATCACAAAAGAAGCTAGAAAGCTTCCAAACTCATATAAGGCTATTAATTATGGTTTTCGACTTTTTTAAGGATTATAGCAAAACTTGAAGATATTCTTCTATTCGTCCAGGACGAATAGTAAACGATCCAAATCGTTTACTATTCGTAACACGTAATCAAATTGGACTGATCTTCCTGTTAGACTAAAAAATATCCCCACAATATTAAAATATTCTGTATTATTTACCGAACGATGTAAAATTTCCAAGATAAAGTGGCAACATCTACAAGAACTAAAAAGTGTCATTTCATCGGACTGTCACTTTTTCTATTACAATTTGCAATATATTGTTTAGAATCATTAAAAAATTTTATTATTTAAGTTTATATGTTATAAAAAGGTTATTTTTTATTTAATTTGTATTATATCATAATAATGCATAGATGATACATAGTCTAATGTAACAAAATATTTTATTTCAAGTTGTCCTAGCTGACTCATTAAATGTATAATGCAAGTAAATCAATTTTTGTTTACATTCACTTTTACGTAATAAAATTTAAATAATTACGTATTTTTTAATTCGTCTTTATATCAATATTTTTAAAATAAAATGATTTTTTCTTCCTACTATAAAACACACTTTTTGTAGATAGGACATATTGCCTGCTCACCGTCGATATACCTGTGATATGCTCTAAACACATAAATGCATTGTATTTGTAGCAGGAAAAACGAGTTTTTCTATTCTTTCTCCAGCCGCAGTAGATGCACCTTTTAGCAGGTAATGGTATTTTTTGATTTTCCGGTGCATCACTTCGAGTTACTTCCATAAGTATCAGCTTCAGCGTTCTCGATTACTAAGAGCTGCTCTCCTTTTCAAATGTGGTTAAACCAATGCGTTTGCTAAATCTGTTAACAAATTTCGTCGCCGTATATTTGGATATCCGTTGTTTTCTTTATATATCACCTGAGTATTGATTCCTGCAACATTGAATAATGTGTAGAATATCACCATGGGTCATCTTCTGCTATTCCGGGAGCAGTTGTTACTAGCGCACAACTTATCTACAACATCGACACTCCCTTTTGTATTATTATAAGTACAAGTCAAACAGATATCTCGTGAAATAAAAAAGTCACCGAATTTAAAAGTGGGGGTCTAGCAAAGCCATTCGTGCAGTAAACGTTATGCAGTGAGGAGCTGAATATTTTTACACTGTTGCATTATTTCTTTTACTCGCGGTATTTAAATTTAATTTTGTTGTGATTTTAGGTTTTGTATGTGTATGTTTTGTTTTTCCGATTTTCGTAGAAAACACCCGTAGAAAAAATGTTTGGAATAAAAAGTGTAGCTAAGATCATTTTGAATAAAAATGTGTATTAGCACTTTTTCTGTAGAATAAACCAGAAATTTTAGGGGAAAGTCCGAGGTTAAAAGTGGTGAAAGTTTAACATCTTTTTTGGGGTCCAAAAATTGACATTCTCAGCAAAATTCAACTTGTTCGTATGATTTTTAGAGGTTCAGTGGCATTTTCGTCTCTGAAGAATGGAGAAAATACCTATTTATTTAGTTATTTTATATGATATCTACAACAAATTATGCATGCTAGCACTAATGTAATAAATGTACTTGCAGGGCAATGCTCCTCGTTCTCCCTTCCAAGAAAACATATTATAAAAGAAAAAAGAAGCAAACTATTAATTATTTCGACAAAGGGGTGTTAAGGCAAATTATTCATAAAATGTATATAAGCGAGACAGAAGTACCTCAGCTAAAAAATATTCTTCCTAAATTCAGAGATGTTGTAGGCTATCAAGGTAGTCGAGAATCTTTAAGATTAATTATAAGAGACATTGGCTTCCACTGGAGAAAAACAAATCGAATACTTCTAATGGAAAGACATGACATTCGGAAGCTTCGTATACACTGCTTAAGAGCTGTTAATAAGTATCGAGAAGAAGGTCGTCCTATAGTGTATATGGATGAAACATACATTCAGTCAACACATACCACACGCAAAAGTTGGAGTGATGATTCGAATGAAGGTATTAAGCAACCATGATCAAAAGGAAATTGTTTGATTATTGTACATGCTGGTGGTGTGGTTTTGTTCAAGGAGCTGCCTTATTTTATAAATCTGTTATTAAAACAGGCGACTATCACGACGATATTTTTAAAAATTATTGTGTGGTTCGAAAACAAATTAACACTCAATCTTCCTCCACAAAATGTTGTAGTAATAGATAATGCACCTTATCACAACAAACAAATTAACAAGGCACCAACATCAACACCAACAGAAGAATTAATAAAGAAATGGTTAGAGGCCAGAAATATTCCTATAAATAATAGTATGCTAAAGACAAAACTGTACGATTTAGTAAAAATGCATAAAACAGCATATGTTCTTTATGCAATAGACGAGATCGAAATAAAACATGGACATAAAATTTTAAGATTACCTCCATATCACCCAGATCTTAATCCAATCGAGCTGATCTGGACCAGCTTAAAATCCTATGTAGCATAAAAAAATATTACATTTAATATCAATAATGTAAAAGACTTATGCAAACAATTCTTTGCGACTTTCCCTCCTACTGAGTGGCAAAGTCGATGCAGCCATGCAAAAAATGTGAGGAAGAATTTTTGGTTCTACTAGCAACAATGGAAAATAATATGGAAAAATTTGTCATAACTTTAAGAGACAGTGATTCGGAATGGGATTTTTCCTTTTATCAAGAATATTTTTTTTTTTGTAAAATGTAAGATACTCTTTTCTTCATTTGTATACAATTTTTTGGGATACATATGTGTATATCATACCTCACCAAAAATAATTCCCTTATCCTTTTAGTCATTAAATTGTGTAAATTATTTGAAACTCATTTTTTTAGATATCAAACTAAAAATACCCAATATTACTGAGATCATCCACATATTGACAACATTGTAACATTTTTAATATCTACCGAGAGATTATCAAGCCGTACAATGATTGTAATGTTTGGGTTAATTCCATTCTTTTCTGGCCGAATACTTTCTCTCTCTGCGCACTAGAAGCTCCGCCCGTTTCACGAGATTCCTGTTCACCTGTAGTGATTATGACTGGTTTTATTACTGGTTATCACCACTGTTTATGTCAATATCATCATAATGGTGCATGCTTGATAATAAAATCCCATTTCTCGTTGCTTTGGGATATAAGAAACGATTGTGATATCCTCTGTAAAGCCAAACATGCTAGTATGGAATGAAAGTTTAGTGGTGTTTGAAAACTCGACTGTTAGTTTTATTTTATTTTTTGTTAGCGTTCCAATAGTAGTTATTTTGTAATCACGGAAACAACTTTTTCACAAGTGGAACTGATGTAAACCAGTTATTCGTTGTCAAGTTAGAAAATATATATGGGCC